GACCGGCACAGAACCGGCACAGCACCAGGACAGCATCGGGACAGCACCGGCACAGAACCGGGACAGAACCGGCACAGAACCGGGACAGAACCGGGACAGCACCGGCACAGAACCGGGACAGCACCGGCACAGAACCGGGACAGAACCGGGACAGCACCGGGACAGCACCGGGACAGCACTGGCACAGCACCGGGCAGAACAGGGACTCTGACCTGAGAAACTGAGGGGCACTTGGAGCCTCATCAGGGCGATGTCGTAGTCGAGGCTGCTCTCGTTGTAGAGCGGGTGCGGAATGATGTCCCGGACGGGCACCCCCGCCTCGGGCTTCAGCGAGCCCTGGGTGACAATGCCCGCAAAAACCTGCCAGGCTGGGGCTGGGAGCTGCCTGCAACCGAGCAGGACCGGACTGCTGGGGGCACGGCAACCAGCACCGAGTGTGGGCTAGCAGCGGGCACAGGGAGCCCAGGGATGGGCACAGGGAACAGGGATGGAGCACAGGGAGCAGGGATGGGCACAGGGAGCCCGGGGTACCTGTGCACACAGTGAGCTGCTGTGAGGATCCACTCGGGGGCCAGCACGGAGCCCCCACAGCGGTGCTGGGAGCCCTGGCACACACTGACCTGCCAGGGCCAGCGCCCGGGGGACACGTCTGTGCCCCCCACCACCCTCAGGACCCCCGCCTGCAGCCCACACTCTGCAAGGAACAGGGGGGAGAGGCTCCGGCTGCAGCCCTTCCTGCTGGAGGGCGAGGGGAGCAGGGGAAGAGGGAGGAAAGAAGCCTCTGCATCCAGGCAGAGATCCCGGGGACTCGGGAGAGGAGGGAATCACTCACCTGAGCACTGCAGAGCCACAATTCGACCGGACTGGCAGCTGCTCCTGTGTGGGAGCAGGGCTCTGGTCAGAATAAACTTCAGCCAAGATCCCTGGGGAGCTCCAGGGCGGCTGCAGCCGTTCCCGAGGGAGGTTTGCTGTGCAGCACCCGCACATCTCTGTGCCTGAGCCTGAGAAAAGGCTCCAGCAAACCCTGCTCGCCCCGGAGCTGCCCTTACCTGACCTGCCACGTGTCCTCCAGGCTGCCTTCCTGCCCGGGTGTCACCTGCAGGAACTGCTGCCCAGCACCCACCCGGACATCGGCCAGCTTCACCCCCTTCTGCCGGCTCATGCTGCAGGAGCAACAGGAGATGTCCCGGGAAGGGGTGAGGAGCGGGACCCCGCCGTGGGAGCGGCACAATCCCACAGCTCTGGCAGCTGGGAATGAGCTTTTGGCTGGAAGGGCCTTCTGGAGCTGCTCTTGCAGTTTCCCCAGGGAATGGTGAAGCCTGGCTCTGCTGCCCTGACAAACCCCCAGCCCTCAGGCAGTTTGTGCCACCACCACCCCCCGGAAAGGGCAGCAGCTGTGCCGTGCCCACCTGAGGTACCCGAGCTGCCAGCAGAGCCGGGTGCCCAGGGAGGGATCCCAGGGCCCGTGGCACACCAGGAGCCAGCCAGGATGTGCTTCCAGCCGTGCTTCCAGCAAGGAATTCACTGTGCTGATCCTGAAAGACACTAAAGCCAAGCTGTGCAGGGTCACGTACAGCCTAAGAAGGAAAAAACCCACCCTAAACCCCAGGAAAAAAAACCACTTGAGGAATTAGAAATTCTAAATGAGCCCAGTGAGAGGGGTCACAGGCAAAGGAGTCGTGAAGGAGTTGCCTTTGCTGTGGGATCCCTCTGTGCAATAAAGCTGTGGTGCTGAGGGGTTCAGCAGGACTAAAGAGAAAAGCAAAACTGTAAAATGCAGCTGATACTGATTTCTAAAGAGCCTCTTTTCTGCCCTTGCCATGCCTGGCTCCCCTCTCCCCACCGCTGTGACATCAATCAAAAGTGCAAACCTGTGCTGGGAGCCCCCCGGACCACGGGCTCTTCCTCCTCACCATCATCACACGCTGGGATCGAATCCAAGTCCTGCTCCTGGGGGGGACCCTGCCCTGCCTGGGGCTCCTGCACGTGCTTCACTTCAGGAGACAGAGAAGGTGCCAAGGGTGGGCTGACACGGCCCGGCAGCACCCAAAGGTGGCCAGAACTGGGGACAGTCCTGCCCACTGCAAGAGGTGAGTGAACCTCTCCAGGAGCACAGCTGTGCCCCACCCCAAGCCAGGGCTGAGCAGGGAGCCCCCATCCCTCCCAGCCCGCTGCTGGCACCCCAAACTGGCTCTCAGAGCGGCAGCAGGGCTGTCCTGGGGGGACACTGACCGAGCAGCCACGTCCCAGCCGCTGTCCCTGCCAGCAGCCCCGCCACCCCCAGCAGCAGGAGCAGCCTCCTGACAGTGCAGAGAGCCCCAGGGGACACCTGAGCAGGACCTGCAAGGGAGGCAGAGAGGCTCAGCGTGGCTGCTGTGGCTCTCACAGCTCTCCCAAGCCCCTGCTGAAGCCCCTGGCAGGTCGTGCACTGATTTCCAGGGCTCGCCTGCTCCTTCCCTTCAGAGGGGCTGGGCTAAGCCATGGGTTCTGCCAGAGCTCAGCACCCAGAACCCACCCTGCTCCCGAGGGCCACGAGCAGCTCACCCACCGTGCCCTGGGCAGGGCTGTGTCCCCGCTGCTCCCCTCCTGGGCTCGGCCATCCTGGGGCTGTGCGCGGCATCCTCGGCGTGCTGCAGGCTCTGGGGACACTGCTGGGCACAGGAGCAGAGCCCAGAGCAGCTCAGGACCAGGGCTGGGTCCTCGGGAAGGGAACGAGCTGTGGGATCAGCTCAGGGCCAGGGCTGGCTGTGTGGGAAGGGAATGAGCTGTAGGATCCCTGCTCACCATGGCAGGAGGAGTGGAGCCAGCTCAGGTCCCCAGCAGCCAGCTCAGGTTCCTGTGCATGCGCTGAAGGCACTCCCTGTCCCCAAACCCCCCTTCTCCTGCTGCCAGGGCCCTGCAGGGCTGGGGCTGGTGGCTCAGCTCCCCCTCCATGCCCCAGGTGTCCCAAGGGACGCTGCTGTCCCTCCCTGGGGCTGCCAGAGCAGCAGCTGTGGGGCTGTCTCAGCCCCCAGAGCATCTCCCACCTGCTGCCCCCCTTGCCCCTCCTGTTCCCTGCCACATGAGAAGCCCCAGGAGCTGCTGAGGGGGCTGCAGCTCCAGCCAGCCCTGACAGCAGCGGGCTCCAACTCCTTTGGGGATCAAAACTTTCTAAAGTGGGGAAAAAAAATCAGCGAAAAGCCTGGAGCAGCTTTTTACCATCCTTGCATCTCCAGCCGAGCTGGGACAGGTGAAGGACAGCTGAGAACTGTCCCACATCACTCAGGGAATCCTCCCCACCTCCCCAGGAGCTGGATTTTGCGTGCCTGGAGCACTCAGGGAGCAGCAGAGGTCTGGCAGCCGCTCTCAGCTGGCCCCTGATTCTCCAGGTAATTTCTTATTGCTGAAAGAGGAGTTTCAAAGCCGTGGCTGGGCCGTGTTGGGGCAGGAGATGATTTTTCAGAGCTCTGGTGGAACAGAAATCCCTCGGGCTGCTGCATCATCCTCCTCTGCCCCAGTCCCCAAAACCAAGAGCAGCTGAACAGACTGGAAGAGCTGTCCCATGGAATAAAGGCTTTTTTTCCTTTCTTCTCCATCCCTGACAAACACAGCTGGTGGCTGGGTGCTCCAAGCACCAATGAATTTTTAATGTTAAACTCCCATGAATGTTTCATGACCTGTCCTGCAGGTTCAGGGTGGGGGTTTGTGCTCTCTCTGAGCAACACCAGGTGTGTTGTGGCACAAACCCACCCTGTGCTGGGCAGCTGCCGTGAAAACGGGGGGTTTGGGGTCGGTTTGGATTTTTTCTCCAAGCCCCCTGTCCCAGTTAGAGTTTAGGCCAGAAAGGCTGCAAATATCCCCCAAATCACACCTTGGCTCGGCGTCTGACCCTTTCCTGAGCCTGCGCTGCTCCCTGCGGCTCTGGAGCATCCTGGGGAGGACTGTAGATGGTGCTGGAGCACCAGTGGGAAGGGAGGGAAGAGCCCAGGCCCAGAATCCAGCCCGAGCATCCTCTGACAGCTCCTCTGGGCACCGAGGAGGGGAGGGACTCACCAGGCTGCTCCTCCCAGCCCGGAGCCGCTGCTGGACCGGTTCAGGTCGTCTCCCCTCCCAGAATCTGCCAGAAACTCAGAGATAATTTGCTGGGTAATGATTATGGAGTCGAGAAGGCAATTTCAGGAAAACTGTTTTCTCCCTGGCAGGAACTGGATGGAGGCAGTGCCGCAGCCTGATACAGTGATTTGTTTAAAAGGCAGCTGGCACCGTGTGAAGCAGAGACAATTTCGAGGCAATTCCCTGCAGGGATGGTGCCAACCTCCCCAGAATGGGCACATTGCTCCTCTCCTGCCTCAGAGGAGCCGGGGGAAATGTCCTGACCCCACTGGAGCCATGACTGCGATGGGGACACCTCAGTGCTCGCCCTGAGCAGGGCATTGCCACCTTCCCCCATCACAAGAGAGAGGCAGGGATTTGATGCCCCTCTGTTCGTGTTTCTGCAGAGTGTGGACAGCCAGGAGAGGGCTGGGCCCTGGATTCTCATCCATCACCCAGTAAATAGAGAATTAAAGGATGTCAGGGATGAAATGTTTTCATTCTCTGTATCATGTTCCAGCACAAAGATATCCCGGGGGATTTATTCCCGGAGACGAGTCGAAGAAGAAGAATAATTGTTAAGGAGAAATTAATTTTAGGCTCTTTTCCCTCCCATTTCCAAACACTTTATTTGTCAGTTGTCAGCTGAACCTTTGCCCTTGCAAGTTGCCGAGGACCCAAATCCCAGAAAGGGAAAAGGAAAAGGTTTTTCAGGGGGCTGGATGGCATTTCTGCTTTGTTGTACCTTCCTCCCTGCGTTGAGAGCAGAAGTTTTAGGTGCAGGGGAGCCACCCCGGGGTGGCAGCCGGCAGCTGGGAGCAGTTTGCCAGCCCGAGAGGGAGCGGAGCCCCGGGCTGTGGCCACTCGCCCTCCCTGGCTGATGTCCCCGGGCCCGCAGGGACCCTGCAGCTTCAGCTGCGCTGGAGCTGGGCTGCTGTGCCCCTTCAGAGGCAGGAATCCCCAGCCTGGAGCGGTTTCACTGGCACGGAGGGCGAATCCACCCTCGCTGAGAGGGCTGAGCAGGAACCCAGGCGTGTGACGGTGCTGAGGTGCCACCCCTGCAGGGAACATTCCAGCTCAGCAAATCCAGCAGCCGGGAGTCCCTGCAGAGCCCCGAGCCGGCACACAGAGCTCCCAGCCCACGGACGGCGGGCAGAGCCCGGGGGATGCTCCAGGGGCCGCATCTCCAGCAGATGCTCTCCCTGAACCCCTGAACCCCTGCCCTGCTACTTCCAGGAGCTCATCCCAGCAGTGAAACAGGTGCTGGGCTGGATTTTGTCACTCCCTGCTCCTGGAGGGGGCAATGAAATCCACGCAGGGTTTTCCCAGTCCGGCGCTCGCCCTTGGAGACGCTTCCAGCGCTTCCCTGGGGACACATCCCCGGCAGGGCTCTGCCTCTGCGAGGTGTCCAGCGGAGCTGAAATCACCGTCCTGCCAGAAGTTATCCACCTGCCGAGACCTCCGGGCCTCTGGGCGCTCTTTAGAGGCTGCCAAAGACCCGATAAAATGAACTCGGAGCGCTCCCGGGGAGCCTCGGCTGGCCCTTAAAGCCGCCAGCATTCCCGGGAGATCTGTCCTTGTTCAGCTCAGCAAGGAAAAGAATCCAGCAGCGGCAGAATATTCCTGCCAGGGTTTGAGATATTCGAGTGAGAGGTTACTCAGCCCAGCCTCCTCCTTCGGGACAGAAATAAAGGTTTCCCCAGCCAGCAGCAGCGTTTTTCCTGCTCTCAGCTCCTGTTTGCATCCTCCTGGCTGCTGACTTTCCTCCCCTCCACCACACAGAGCAAAGTCTTGGCCAGCGCTGCTCACCAAAAACATCTGCCTCCCAGCTCCCTCACACAGCCTCATTATAGATCCTAATTAAATAATTACACATTTTCATTCTCTGTAATTACAGCCACTACTTATGTAAATAAATACGCCGCCTGCAATTACAAAGTTATGAAAAGCTATCAGGAAATATGGATTGGGTTGAAGAGAAAAGCGCTTCAGAGAGCCCTGCCCGGGCAGCGCTCCCTCACCCCCTGCCCACCCCGACACCTCCTGCAGCACCAGGAACCCCCTTCCCACCTGCAATTCTCCTCATTTCTC